CAGAAACCACTGTATCTGAAATTTGATTAAAGAAATGAGAGTAAATAAAAAAAGAGATGTAGACATACCAAGGCCTGCATGATCTCTTTGGTGAGAATAGATGTTACTCAACCAAACCATTGTGCCATATTATATAGAGATGTTACAGTATGATGGTTAAGACATTACAGCTTTGATGTGAGACACTACAAACCTTTGCTCTGCCATTTATCAATACTTACTATGTCCTTAAGCAGGTTATTTAGCCTCTCTATGCTTTAGTGTTCTAATTTATAAAACCAGGGATAACAATATGACCTACTCTATTGGTTTTTCTTAATGAGAATCAAATAAAAGTGAATTTAGAACTCTTTGCCCAGTGGCTAGAAAAAAATAAGCAGTCAATAAGTACTTTTAAAATATTATGGTTAGTTTTTTTCTCTCTCTTCACAGATTATGTATCTTTTTCTCTCTGTCTTTGGACCTGATCACTCCAATACTCTCACCAACACCAGGTGTTTACCTATCTTTAGAAGTCTACCTTGGCTTCATAATAACTACCTTAGTGTTTTCTATCTCAGACTTTAGGATTTCATCTTAGTTCACTTCAGACACACTCCAGGCATGCAGCAGTGTATACTGGGAAAAGATTCAGACATAGTGTTATCAAATAGAAATAAAATGTATGCCACATGTGTACTTTTATATTTTCTAATAGGCACATTTAAAAAAGAAATAATCAGCCAGATGCACTGGTTTTGCCTGTAGTCCCAGCCCTCAAGAGGCTGAGACAGGAGGATCACTTAGGCTTGGGAGTTCATGCCCAACATGGGCAGCATAGCAAGACCCAATCTCTTGTAAAATAAAACTAGAAGAAAAAAGAGAAAAAAGAAACAGGCGGAATTTTAATAATATATTTATTTACGTGAATATATCCAAATTATTGTGATTTTAACAAGCAGCAATCACCACATTTCAAGTGTGCAATAACTACATGTGCTTGCTATATAAGACAGTACAGGCTGAGAGTCAAATGAACATGGATTCGAATTCTGGCCCTGCTTTTCACTTGCTCTAAATCTGCTTCTTTATGTTAAAAATCACTATCTCCAGATATTGTGAGGATTAAATAAAACCAGATATTGTGAGGATTAAATAAAACCAGCACACTCAAAGCACTTAGCACAATGCCTACTTACAGGCATCAGGCATTCTCATTAAATGAGAATCCTCTTACCCCAACCTTCTACTATAGAACTGAACACGGGCTCAATATGGTGAAATCTGTGATCTAGCCCTTCTTCCTTCCTTTCTCGCTCTCTATAAACTGTGGCCTTTTCTCCCACCCACATGCTCTCCCTCTTTGCTTCCTAGCAACTATAAATTTGACTCGGTAGAGTTATTTCTAGAAGCCTCAAACCCTTGTAGTCATGACCCAAGTATGTGATTCCAAGAAACTAAAAAAAACCCATGCCTGAAAGAGAAATTTTACCATCTCCTTCTCCTCTGCCCCTGTTGAATCCACCTCCCCCGCTGGTCCTACTGCCTACTCACATAGAGTTTCTCCCTCATTCAGGGGTTCCTACTGCTGCAGCTTCCTGAGCCTCAGCAACTGCCATCAACATCAGTGCTTCTCCATTTAAAGAGTCTAGGAGCAAACATTAAGAGAAGCTGAGCAGCATTTTGCAAAATAACTGGCCAGTACCCTTTAAAATTGTCAATGTCATAAAAGACAGAGATCAAGGAACTAGCATATATTGGCGGTGACTAGAGAGACATAAATGAAAAAATGGGATCTAGAGTAGAATTTTTGCCCCAGAAAAGGACATTAGTGGAAAAACAGGTAAAATTTGATTAAGATCTATAGATTAGACCTAATAATATTCTACTGATATCAATTTCCTGGTTTCAATAATTGAACTATGGTTCTATATAAATTTAAAATTAGGGGATTTATAGGAACTCTCTATATGATTTTTGCAATATTTCTTCAAAATAAATAAAGCAAAATAAGGTTAAAACACTGTTAAATGTGATTATTTAGACTTTATTATGAAAGAATCTCTCTCCCAATGGACTTGTTAAGTGATATATTATTGTGAAATAACGGTACTTACGCCAAGCCAGGAAGGCCATCACAAAGGTTAATGAAAAGTCAATTCCAAGATATAGAAAATCCACTTTAATCACCAGTATTAGTCCATAAATCCACTAAGAAAGTATGATGTCATCTACATATACTGAGGACTTGATGATACCAAATCAGTATTTTGTGCAACCAGTAATGTTATTAAATAAATATAGTTACTGAATAACATACTTAAACAATAACTCACTGTGACCAACTTTTTACAGAAAGAAAGGGACGGGAAAAAATAAGAAATATACACGAAGAAATAATATGCACCCACCTCCCTCCACCAGACCTCCCATGCTTTAGGAAAAAACACTGGTTGACCAACTCTGAACAAAACCCCTTGCAATAGAAAGGATAGTCTGCTTTGCTTTAGTATGTGTTTGTAACATAAAGTAACATAGACAATTGGTAAATGGAGAAAAGATATTAGTGTAATGCAGAAGTTATACTGATTCATATGTAATTCCCCAGATCATTAATGTTTTGCCTTATTATTAGTAAAGGCAATTGAAAGCTATGTACACTATTGACAACAAACCAGGAAGGAATCCATATTATACATTCAACCCTTCTCTTAGATGTGCTATTGCAAAGTTAACCCTGATCTTTGTTAATAAATAAAAAAATAAAACAAAGTAATACCAAACAATGAGCAGAACATACAATCTGGTATCAGTACATTTTGTGCAATAGCTTACAAACTTTTCTTTACTTATGACTTCTGATTGTAACGTCTTTCTGCCCTTGTATGCACAGATAACCTCAACCCTTCCTTATACTTTATTCAGTATCAGATTTTTTGTTTCTTTCTCAAAGTAACAATATTGCTTCATGATCATCTGTTGTTATATATGTAATACCAGCCGGGCATGGTGGCTCACACCTGTAATGCCAGCACTTTGGGAGGCCGAGGCAGGTGGATCATGAGGTCAAGAGATCGAGACCATCCTGGTCAACATGGTGAAACCCCGTCTCTACTAAAAATACAAAAAATTAGCTGGGCATAGTGGCACATGCCTGTAATCCCAGCTACTCAGGAGGCTGAGGCAGGAGAATTGCCTGAACCCAGGAGGCGGAGGTTGCGGTGAGCCGAGATTGCACCATTGCACTCCAGCCTGAGTAAACAAGAACGAAACTCCGTCTCAAAAATAAAATAAAATATATAATACCAGTAACTAAGCACTCTTTTATGTAAATGGCTCCTCTGAGAACAAGCATATGAAAGTTTGTGTTATTTGTACATGACAAAGATACAGCATATAACTGAATCATTAAAAACACAGTTCAACTGGAGTAACTGTAATTTATATATGAATCCCAATTTGAGTAGAATGTTTTTGAAGTTAATGTATACAATAAATATCAATCACTATGAAAATTTACATAAAAGGATAGTGTGCTCTTTTTAATATACTCCATGATATGGTAGGGTACTTTTATGGACCCATGCAACCCTGAATATCAAGGAGCCTTGCTTGATTTTTCAATTATCTATTCAAGTCCCCTTGGTTGGAGATAGTCAGCATGTTTCTCATGAGGGGAAGAAAAATACTGCAGAATTGTCTGTGTATAATGTGACCTCTTTCACTTGGGTGGGTATCCTTTCCATCACCAACTAAGTGAGGATGTAACCTTGTCAAACCAAAGGCAAAAGAATAATAAGCATACGACAGGCTAAGCTAGCACAGAAAGGTTGTTTAGGAGGTTGCAAAGATAGAACTCTGAATGACAAAATAAAAGTACACTTCGAAGAACAGGTTAATATTTTTTAAAGCACTCAAAATCTGAGAAGCATTTAATACCCCTCCTTGGATGTCTGCCATACAAAACTCCACTTGAATTTATTTCATTAGTCACTAACCAGATTTGGTTAATATGTTTTCAAATGAACATTGGTAGAATAGTCTTGAAAGAAACACATTTATAGAATATCTATTTCCATAAAGCACTAGCCAACAGTAAGTATGAATAAGCAGGTGTTGGTTTGCTTTTACCAAACAATTACAAGTTACCATCCAACAGAAAAAAATCCTTCCAATTCAAAAATCAGAAATATAAATGGGAAAAGTCTTTACCCAATATTTTTACTGTCGTCAAGACAAATGGCAGTAACACTGCTACATTAATTGCTGCCCCTAACTGGCATAACAGGGAATCATACTAAACCATTTTTATCAGTATCTGAAACCAGAAGAAATTAGACAAGTTTTGGCTTGTCTTCCTAGAGTAAATTTAAAGCAAACAAACAAAAATCTCCAAACCATTGAAACATGTCCTAGGACTATGTATTATTTCATCATGACAGTTATGCACACTTTGACGTTCCTTTTCTACATTAAGACCGGAATGAAATTTTTATTCCTGACCAGTCATAATATTATAACAGCGAAACAGTGCCACCTATTGGCCCCAAACAGAAGCATCCAGTACTAGTCTTTCAAACTTCCTTTTTCAGTTAAACTCCTGATGTATATAAACGTCAATTATTTTCATGTCACAGTTATCACCTTCTAGGACTACTTTTTAGCTATACCAACCAAGAAAACATTGGGCTAACAAAAAAAGTTGCTTACCAAGATGCAAAATTTCCAAATATTCCAAAGTAATACTAAATGCATATATTTTAAATAATTTCTAATCAACATTTCATTAAACACATTTTAGCCAATCCAAATATGTTAGTCAACAAACATATTTTAAACGCAAAAGAAAAATTTCTTTTTACAGCATTGTTACATTGCAAAATTCATATTTTCAAAATACATATTTAACCTGTATTCAATTTAATAATGGGCAACATGATATTAACAATGGATTACCAGTTAAATGAGCATAAGCATAAATAATTTTATATACAAATATAGTATACTTCTGAGTTACTTACACCAATGATACAATGTCACCACGGTGTACTTCAAAATTCCTTACTTTCCAGTGGTTCAAAAGCACCACATCAGATGACTGGCTTCCCCCAGGATTCAAAGAAGGCTAGAAAATAAGGAGAAAAAGACATGTCTATCATTTGTATTTTTCAATCTTCATAGTTCTTGCACTTCATAGCTCGAGTGGAGTGAAATAAAACATTTCTAATACAGTACCTTTCTATAAATTGCTGTTCTAAAGTAACTGCAAATTATGAGTTCTGAAAAAGGCTCACTGGAATTCTTCACAGATGAACCAGAAAAAACTGAATTACCAATACTTATTTAAAAGGAGCATGTGCTAGACATTAAAATCTTTAGTAAACTCCAGTAATGAGGTAGGAAAAGCCTTAAGAATAATATAAAAACATGAGGAAGAAGTGAGTCAAACCTCCTAACAAAATATTCAGATAGGATCTAATTCCACGGTAGTACACATCATTGTTCCATCTGGGGAAAAGAGGAAATAATCCCAATTCACAGTCATAACCACAAATCTTTACAGTCATATGAAGAACTGAAGGGGGCAAAAGAAAGAGGTGACAGGATTATCATTTTAAAATGTATGGATTTCCCATGTTGACCTGTCTTTTCTCAAAAGAGCACATGTCTTAAGGTCTTGGTCCCAGTTTGAGCCTAATAAGGGGACTTCATCCTAAAATTCAGAGAAGTCTTACTGTGCCTGAGAATTAATGGAGCGAAAACTAAGAAATAGTTTGTGTAAGAATTTTTCTAAAGGTCAGGAACCATATAGGCATAAAAATTTGATTGGGGAACCATGAAACCAGCATACCTGTCATTTGGACAGGGGTACAGACAAAGCCAATGAATAACAAGCTTGAGGCAAGAAAAGGGGAACAAAAGAATGAGAAAAGCTACAACAGCCTTTTCACTGTTTTTCAAATTTTTTTTCCTTTTTTATTTTGATAGGTTTTGTAGTAAAAAGGGTGTTCGGTTACATGAATTAAGTTCTTCCGTGGTGATTTATGAGATTCTGACACACCCATCACCCAAGCATTGTACACTGTACTCAACATGTAGGCTTTTACCTTTCAGTACCGTCCACACTTTCCCCCAAGTCCCCAAAGTCCAACATATCATTCTTATGCCTTTGTGCCCTCACAGCTTAGCTCCCACATATCAGTGAGAACATACAATGTTTGGTTTTCCATTCCTGGCTCACTCCACTTAGACTAATTGTCTCCAATTCCAACCAGATCGTTGTGAATAACATTATTTTATTACTTGTTTATGGCTGAGTAGTATTACATGATATAATGATAGACCACATTTTCTTTATCCATTTGTTGACTGATGTGGCATTTGGCCTGGTTCCCTGTTTTTGCAGTTGCAAATTGAGCTGCTATAAACATGTGTGTTCAAGTATCTTCTTCAATTAATGACTTAATTTGCTCTGGGTAGATACCTAGTATTGCTAGGAATTCTTGGATCAAACAGATTTACTTTTGTTCTTTAAAGAATCTCCACACTGTTTTCCACAGTAGTCGTCCTATTTTTACATTGCCACCAACGGTGTGAAAGTGTTTACGTTTCACCACGTCCACACCAACATCTATTATTTTTTTATTTTTTTGTTATGGCCATTTTTGTAGGAGTGAGGCAGTATTGCATTGGGGTTTGATTTGCATTTCCCTGATAATTAATGATGTTGAAGATTTTTTCATATGCTTGTTGGCCATTTGTATATCTTCTTTTGAGAATTGTCTACCCATGTCCTCAGCCCACTTTTTGATGGGATTATTTTTTTCTTGCTGATTTGTTTGAGTTATGACTCTCCAAGAATGCTTCCATGGGAAACAGCCATTTCTGTGGTGTTAGGAAAGGTGCCAAACAACAACTGAGGTTCTCCGCCATCATCGCGGGGCTGATGACAGCAGCCAGTGGAAACACAACCACAGCAAAAGCAAGGAAAACAGTGAATGCGGGGCAACAGCCAGTCCCTGGAACAGTAATGACACGTCTTTTATTAAAGATTCCTGGGATTATTTGTAGACTCTCTACGAAGAAAGAGTTGACAAATACATCAAAATTCTTCGTGGAGGCTATTATCCTTACATTATTTTTGATCCAAGGTTTTGTCGCTGAAAAATATTGGTTATTCTTGAACATCTCAAACACTGCCAGAGCTTTCACCAACTCCTTTATGTGATAATACCTAAATCTCTAACTTAGTTTTAAATTCCATGCTAGTCATTCTGTAGCCGGGTTTTCTTGGGTGCTGGTGAGGCACAGCTCCCCGGAGAGAATGCTGTGGGTTCTTGGTCTCCAATATCTTAGAGAATAAGCGATGCGACCACTGCAGGTGCGCCATATGCTCGTAAAAGTAAATATCGGACCCAAGAAGTGTTGCAGAAAGGTGATTTTATTTAGGTAAAGAGAAGACGAGAAAGACTTCCATGAATAGTGTGGAAGGGGATTCCAGAAGGGAAATTCCAGAGGGGAAAGGGAGCTCCCACCATGTGGGAGGGGATTCCAGAGAGCTGTGGGTAAAGGAGCAGAGGAATTTACCCCAGGAGAAAGTCCCACCTTCCCAAGTTCCTCTGGCCAATGAAAGGAGTTCCTTTAAACTTCCACTGGGGTGACTGACTCTTAGTCTCTTCCTGCGCCCGTGAAATTCAGATATAAACTATTAAATCTCCCGGATGGAGAGAGATGGTAGGGGGGCATGGCACTGGGAAATTTTTGCCCTTAAAACTATGCCCCCTCATGGACCCAGAAAGAGAACACATTCCCTCAATTTAACTTGACTACCTAACAAAAAATTCCACAGAATTAAAATGGAATTTGTTATCATTTCCTAACAAATAAAGTTTTCTCCCTTTTTTTTTGGAGACAGAGTCTTGCTCTGTTACCCAGGCTGCAGTGCAGTGGCACAATCTCGGCTCACTGCAACCTCCGCCTCCCTGGTTCGAGCAATTCTTCTGTCTCAGCCTCCCAAGTAGCAGGAACTACAGGTGTACCACCACACCCAGTTGTATTTTTAGTAGAGACGGGGTTTCACCATATTGGCCAGGCTGGTCTCAAGCTCCTGAACTCGTGATCCGCCTGCCTGGGCCTCCCAAAGTGCTGGGATTACAGGCATGAGTCACCATGCCGGCCTCCTTTTTTTTTTTTCTTATAAAAAGGGTCTCATTCTTTAGCTCAGACTGAAGTGCAATGCCATGATCATGGCTTACTGTAGCCTTGTACTCCTGGGCTCAGTCTCCTAGGTTCCCAGGTAGCTAGGACTACAGGTTTACAAGTGCATACCACCACACCCAGCTAAATTGGTTTTGTTTTTTTGGAGTTTTTTTGTTTTTGTTTTTTGGGTATTTTGGTAGAGATTGGGGTGGAGGGGGTCTCGCTATACTGACCAGGCTGGTCTCAAACTCCTTGCCTCAAGCAATCCTCATGCCTTAGCATTCCAAAGTACTGAGACAACAAGTATGAGCCACTATGCCCAGCCCTTTCTTATTTTCTTACTTCCTCTCTACCCTTTTCTCAGTTAACCAGCTTAAAAATCTTAGTTGTCTTTTTACTAATCTAGAAAACATATTCTAGATAAGTATAGTAAGACATTTTTTGTATCTCATCAAGTTAGGCAATTTAAGAATTAGAAATAGTTGAATAGGGCTTTATTATTCATAATGAAATAATGCTAATCACAACACACTAAAATAACTATCCTCATTGTTTATTTATGAATCTAAGACTTATGAATATCCACAATGCATCATAAAGAAAAACCTTCTTGAATTGGGAAGTTATTCCCATAGCACCTTAAGAACCATAGTTCTCTGCATGTCAATAAAAACAAAAGCTTTATGAAAAAGAAAAAATAACAGCCAGAGCAAGCAATCTTTTCAAATTGATGAAGACATCATATGGAAATAAAAAGTCATGAATAATAATCTTATGTGACCACAGAATCTGTATTTTCTTGTTAATATTTTAAATCCTAGATTCCAAGAGACTACATCAAAATATAACTAACTTCAAACAATAAAGTTTTTGAAGAAATCTCAGAGAATATTTAATCTAGGAGTTTCTACCTGTATCTCAAAGTATGTGATTGTATCAGATATTCCTGCTACTAGTCACAGTGATTTCCAGTAACAAGAGGAAAAACACTAACTCACAAAGAACAAACCAGCCCAACACCTGCTCCGCCTGTCTTTTCTTCAACAACTTGTATTCTTATACTCATCTATTTCTCTGCTTCTCACCATAGACCACTAAATGCTTTTAACCATGGACCATTAAAGTTAAAAATCAAAGTTGGAGAAGTGTTTTGAAGAGCCCTTGCTCTAAACCCTGAAAACTATGTTCAAATCTTGTCTCCATTTCTTATTAACCATTATTACCCTAAACAAATTATTTAACTTGCCTCATCTTCTCATCTATAAAATGGGGACTAATTGCAGTAACACTTGAATTTAGTTACTGTGTACTACATTCACAGTACAAGAATAAAACTGAGAGTCTACAAAACATTACAGTCATGATACAGAGTAGCAGTCAACAAATAGGATACTAATGATGGCAAAAACAAAATAAAGGGAAACAAAATCAGATACAGTATCTTTTCCATATGACTTAAGAAAAATTAAACATTTAAATATTGCCCTGCACATTTCTCATTTTATATAGTAAACTGAAAGTCTTTAGGTAGAAAATTCTACCCTTCATTTCTAAACTCTTTGTTGATTGTTTCCTCACTTGTTTTAAGCAAGTAGTCGGCATACTTTTATTTGCCGCCTTAATTGTTCTGCCTCTATAAATCAATGCAAAAAATTTTAATGTGCATAATTAGTTATGAATACCTATGAGAATTTTACACCCACTACGTGTTAAATTCTTATTTTTAAATAAGAATTTAAATATGTATTTTTAAAACATACACACACATATACAGACATATATAAAAACATATGCATTTAAAAATCTAATACTCCTTAGCTCTGGTTGATGAAATTATGATTTCCTTTATTTCTCTCTTACTGCTTACCCTCCCCCCACCTTGTTTTCCTCTGGCTCAGTTGTATTTCACAAATTGTTTTTTATAGT